TCTTTTTCTGAAATGCGGTGTTACTTTTACGCCACACATAATGGGACACACACCTTCCAAAAAGTTCAACTTTTGTCTCGTCTGTCCACAGAGTATTATCCCAAAAGTCTTGGGGATCATCAAGATGTTTTCTGGCAAAACTGAGACGAGCCTTTATGTTCTTTTTGCTCAGCAGTGGTTTTCGTCTTGGAACTCTGCCATGCAAACCATTTTTGCCCAGTCTCTTTCTTATGGTGGAGTCATGAACACTCAGCTTAACTGAGGCAAGTGAGGCCTGCAGTTCTTTGGATGTTGTTGTGGGGTCTTTTGTGACCTCTTGGATGAGTTGTCGCTGCGCTCTTGGGGTAATTTTGGTCGGCTGGCCACTCCTGGGAAGGTTCTCCACTGTTCCATGTTTTCGCCATTTGTGGATAATGGCTCTCACTGTGGTTCGCTGCAGTCCCCAAGCTTTAGAAATGGCTTTATAACCTTTTCCGGACTGATAGAGCTCCATTATTCTCTTTCTCATTTGTTTTTGAATTTCTTTGGATCTCGGCATGATGTCTAGCTTTTGAGGATCTTTTGGTCTACTTCACTTTGTCAGGCAGGTCCTATTTAAGTGATTTCTTGATTGCGAACAGGTGTGGCAAGAGAAATTGAACTCAGGTGCGATAAACCAGTGTTTTGACAGGGGGGCAAACACTTGTTCACACAGGGCTCTATAGTTTTGGATTTTGTTTTCCCTTAATAATAAAAACCTTCATTTAAAAACTGCATGATGTGTTTACTTGTGTTATCTTTGACTAATATATAAATTTGTTTGACGATCTGAAACATTACAGTGTGACAAACATGCAAAAAGATAAGAAATCAGTAAGGGGGCAAACACTTTTTCACACCACTGTATGTGTGGCACTCCTTGCACGCCCGTAGGATCTCGTATACTCTGCGTTGTGTGTAGGATAATCTGACACCGACCACTGGTTATCACACAGAGTGACGATGGATGGCACTTCTCTCAGCTTGACAGTGCGAACTGGCAATCTTCTCTCGGCTCGACAGCGCGAACTCAGAGCTGCACAGTGATGACGTACTAAAACGCGTCTCAGAAATGTCTTAAAGAGACAGTAACCATTTTCTACTACAGTATATCAACTCTGTTTAAACAATTAATACAGATTAATCGGGATTTGGTGTGGTTTCAATCAAACAGTTACAATGAGTTACTGTGGTTTCTTTTACACTGGTTACACTTAGAAACAGGTGTTTTACATTAGAAAGTTCCTTTGCTGTGGGTCCCTGTCCCCCGGTGATGAGGTCTGACCCAGAAATCTCTCCAATGACCCTGGACAGGTGAGTTCAACACTTTTAAGTTGTTGAAATGAATTTAACAGTTACACGTTCTGACAGGTTGTTTATTTTTCCTGTATCAATCAGTTTAATACAGAACCAGCTGTTATGTTTGTGTTTCTCACATTTCTCAAGGCTGTAGAGGACAAGGACGGGGAGCAGGATCAGGATCAGAGCAGCAGACCTCATGGCTCAGGACTCCGTCAGTGGGATGATGCACAGCTGGAATATGATCTGGAAGCAGCACAGTGGAGCAAGGTTTGTACTTTATGTTTCATGTTACAGCAGCTTTAAGTGTGGAGTGGACGTCTTAGATAAGCAAGTCAGTGCTTTAGTTCTTGTAACCCTGAGATTCAGACACTTAGTGGTGGAGGGCAGCATAGTACACATAGTGAAGTACTGCAGTTACTACAAGTACAGCTCTTAGCCTTTGTATAAGGTGACGTCTTCAGACTCCTCTGTTATTTGAGTATCAGTTGGAAACACAAACAGTGTCAGTAAACTGTCAGATGACGACGACATGTAAATACTCATGTTTGAGAAGCTGAAATCAGACAGTTGTTTTGCTAAGTGATTAACTGGTGACGTTTTCTGTTACTTTTTAATATCATATTTTATTTATATAGCACATTTACAACAACAGAAAGTCATACCAAAGTGCTTCACAAGTATGTAATAAAAGCAGATAAGTTAAACCATCACAGCCTCAGAAGTAAAACAGACACTGTATTAACTCATTCACCATGTTGCATACATTTGCCATATTTTGATAATACTGGCAAAATGTTCTTGTTAAGCCTGTGTTAGTACCAAAGTGGCCTGTGAGAGTCCGAGGTCAGCGCCCACGCTGGCTGTGAAGAGCAGTGGGACCGAGTCCACAGTGTGTGAGCAGCAGATCAACACTCAGAGAGCAGGAGGCTTCAGCAGTGGAGGAGCAGTAACGTCTGCACACACTCGCTTCGTTACTGTGGCTCCACGAGGAGACGCACAGAGTTTGTGCAGGATGTTCAGACCGCTGAAGCCTCATACTGTCATCATGTCTGCACAGAGCAGGGACTTTGTCTCACAGTCCAGATTCCTTCACAGCCAGTGTGAGCATCTCCTCTGAAGTAATAATATAGCATTCTGTGATGTGGTTTCTTCCCTGAACCTTTGGTTCAGTTCTGCTGCTGAGGTCGGATACTGAGCAGGACTCACCTGAGATGTGTTGAGTCGTTCCTCGTCTGTCTGGTGTCGATCAGCTCGTTGTCACATTTTTATCCTGTCTCACATCACATCTGTTGTGTAGCCACGATGTTCCAGTGCCACACCAATAAGGAGGTGGCACACCCAGAGGCATTTTTCTGGCAAAACGCTGATGCACCACATCTTGATAAATCAACATGATGAGTAAACCCCTGAGGTCTGGTTATCAGGCATCCAGCTGAGAGCACGAACCTGAAAGCAGCTGCTCCGTGAGCTTTTAAAATTAAGTTGCATGTTAATACAGCTGCTGTGTCACATGCATCTTCCACCACAACCATCCTGTCACAGAATAAGTTTGATGCTGTTGTATATTTTTCCTGTTGTCAACAAATCTCATAAAAAGACCAAACCTCACCAATGCTAAACTTGACTTTCATGCAGGTAAACCAGGGCCCAGCCACATGACACAACGATAACCAAAGGTGCACTGACCCAGGCCAGACAGAAACCTGGGAGCGTTTGTTGTTTTGGAGACGAGCTTTAAGAAATCTCTTCTGTTCCTTCTGTATATAAAGTTTAGCTGGTTCCTGCTACAAACAGGAGAAAGCAGTGCATCTGTTGGGGACTGTTTTCAGCGGTGGATGAACCCACATTTGGTTTCTGGTGAGTATTAGTGGCAGTAGGATGGTGTGTGTGGGGCTGAGTCAGAATAAACTCCAGTGTGTGTGTTCATGGTGACGAAGGGAACAGTGGTCACCGGTGGCTTTAATGGTTCCTGGACACAATGGAGCTCTGTGGACCAGAGGGAGGAGACCTTGACTTCAGATGAAGTTGTGCTGCTTCTGGGCAAATATAATTTCACCTGCTCACACTTGTGAATTTGAAGGGGATGTTTCAGCAGGTTTTAAATAATTTAAAGTGCCACAGTTGGTGTCACATGGACCATGAGCACTAGAAACAGTATTTTAATATCACTGTGTGAACACCGGCTACAACGCTTTCTCAGCCTTTTGTGTCTCAAGGCCACAAACTGTTGAATATCTAATATTTTATATTAGCACTCATGCCTTCGAGCTCCCGCAGGGACGGCAGACCCTGCTTAATATAGAACTGACGAATTCAGAGTCGGTCAGTTCACATTTTCTGTATTTGATGTGTAAACAGAGAGTGTGTGAATTTCCAGGGTGGGGATGTTAAACTTCAAGAAACAGTCAACATTGATCTCGAACTATCATTTGACACCTTGTCCCTGCTGTCGCTCCCTGATATTTTACACATCATCTAAATGTATACATTTTGATAATAGTGAGGAGGTTCATTTCAGTTTTTTATTTTATTTTCTTTGATGTATTTCAGACTTTTATTTTGTACTCCATTTAGCTTATGAATTCTGTGGCCTTTAAGTGTACCCCTTGTATAACTTGGCTCTGTGAATGTGTGAATGTGGTTGTTGTGACACAGCAGTTTCTTTTAGACATTAATAAAGTTATCAGTCTTTCTATCTTAAGTTTTCAGTTACAAGGACATGAACATTTCTAAAAATGTGAAGGGAAACAATTGTTCAATTTTGTTTTAGGGTAAATAGTTTTTCTTCCTTTTAAGAAAAAGGTACAGTCTCAGTTCATGTGGATTTTTCTTAAAATATGTATGTTGTCTTCTTTATGTGTTTGTCCTGCTGTGGAGTTCTGTGTATATAATTAAAACTCTTCAGTCTGTCTGACCTCCTCATTTAGGCTGTTGACCTACAGCAGGTCCTCTCCCTGCTCTCAGACAACCTTTTTGTTCTGGCACCATGTGTTTTCCTCTTCATCACTTCCTGCCCATTCCTTGGTTAATATAAGACTCTTGGAGCTTTTTCTATATATTACATACAGATAGGCTACTTTGATCCTTTAAGTACATTCTACTTTTGCTTAAATGTATTCTAAATACAGGATTGTACTTTTTGTACTCTTTCACTGTAGTTTTGCTATTTTTTACATCAAGTATGCATCCTGTCCTGTCCCCTCTGCAGATACACGGTTGGCCGGGTGCTGACACTCCCTCTGTACATTTCTTCTAAACAGGCCAAGTGTTTGCTGTGTGGTAAAGAACAGGTCAGATGTTGCTGTTTCACTGTGGAGTCCACCGCGCGTTGCTGGACCTGCTTTCTGCCCGGCTCCAGTAGTGATTGCAGTGATTCCCAGGTGCAGCAGCAGGGGGCAGCAGTGCGCCACAGGAAGGAGTCGGAGACCCTGTGTCGGCAGAAGCAAATTCACTAATTAAACTAGTAATTGTACTGATGATTAGTTTGTCCCCGATTGACTCTGGAGCGTTACTCCACTGGTGCCGGAGGTATTTTATTTGTATTCCTTTAGTTAAGTAAAATTGATACTTCCTCATTAGAACGACGTCTGAAGCAACCACATCTGTTTCTGTAGTTAATTCTTTACGCTGTGTCCTAGAAGGCAGAGCCATGACACATTCACTTTGGTCCACTTGCACTCAAACAGCACTGTCGGGTTTGTCACTTTAACCAAGTCAAGAAGTTAAAGTTAGAACAGCCGAAATACTAAAACTGCAGACTGGGCTTAAACGGACCAGATGTGTAGTGACGTGACTGTGCAGTGCAGGACACTGTACTCTCCAGCGCTGCCTGCTAGGACGCTGAGGTGTGGTCTGGGGAAAGAAACCCTCCTCCCTCTGGTCCTGGTCCAGCTCCAGGACCCCGCCCGCCTCAGGACGGGAACACGACACGTGAGCACAGCAGAGGAGAGTCCAGGTCCCGGATCAGTTCTGGGAGAAGACGAAAAGCTTTTAGGTGAGTCTGTGATTTTTCTCTCTGTGTTGGAGTTGATGCCTCAGTGAAGCTGTGACCCGCTGACAGTGTTTGTCCAGCAGGACAGGAACCGTGTCATTGTCATGATGCGGAGGCCGCCTGTGTGCAAACAGGGTTTAGCGCAAGCGCAGTTTAGCGTGTTCTCTCATTCCCAGGTGCGTTTCTGCGAGTCCACATCTTGTTTTGTGAACACTGACACATCTGTAACAATTATCTCCAGGGGGATTTGTTGGGTTTTCCCTCTACAATAATAAGAGTAAAGTTTAGATCGCACTTTGTAAAGTGTCCTGAGGCGACTTTTGGCGTTATACAAGTAAAACTGAACTGAATTAAAAGGAACATCCAGAAGTTTTTATCATAGCACACCACGGCGTGGCTGCATGAGAACCGTGTGTTTATTGTGGCTTTGTGATGGCTTTGTTATGTAGGAATTGTGTTGGACGTGTGAAGGCTTTATTTTTTTATATTTTATGGCTGAATCTCCCGGAGCTGTCTGTCATCTTGTAAGACACTTCTGCAGAAATGAATACAGCGCTGCTCACAGAGGATGAGGTGGACAGTGAGGACACCAAACGTTGCACCTGGGTCCATCTTTGTCCATCTTTTGTGGGGACGTTTCTCTTGTGTTGTGCTGCGCTGACTCGCTGAAGCTGGTTACATAACGCGAGCCCAGAGATGACGTACCCCTGAGTCGGTATGACGGCGGAAACGCACGTTTCCTGTTTAACGTTTGAATGTTCTTGGAGGACATGTGAGGACGCTGTGGCCGTTAGCGACAAAAACACGGGATGCTTCTGGGGGTGGGGGGTGCGGTGGGTAGAGCAGCCGTCTTCCAACCGGTGCCCGAATCTCGGTGCCTGCAGTCCACATGTCGAAGTGTCCTTGGGCAAGACACTGAATTTGCCCGTGATGGCGGCGCGTACGCACGCAGCGGCCCTCGGCTCCAAACAAAATTTCGTTGTACGTGTCACAATGTTACAATGGCAATAAAGCTTCTTCTTCTTCTGTTGCATCCCTGAGACCGTATAGGCTCTCAAGATAAATCTCACGGGCAGTGCATGGTTAGCGCCGTGGGTTAGATCCTTCTGCCGCGCACACGCAGGGCGGGTTGACTGGCGAGTCCAAACTGAGAACCAAAGCCCAGCTTTTAACCACATCTCAGAGTCTGACATGAATGGTGCGAGGCAGCGTTCACCAGTTTCTGCTGGACTTTATCAGATATTTTAATTGTGTTAGTTTGAATGAGGGGGTAAAGGTGCATATTCACTCTGTAGCTTTTTGTTGGGACTCTTCATTCACTGTATAGATGCACAAAGGTTTGTTGATAACAGGCTGAGGGACTGTGTGCCGGATGTGGTAGTCTGCAGCACAGGGGCAGCACAGGGGCAGCACAGGGGCACCCCAGGGGACGGTGCTTTCCCCCTTTCTATTCACCGTCTACACGCTGGACTTTAAGTA